TAAAAATAAAAAGCTTCTAGGATAGAGTACCTAAAAGCGCCCACAATCAGTCACTCCAGAAGGTTTTTTTTTCTTCTTTGCGTTGCCAATTAGCGAGTTTGTTCATGTTTTATTTATCGTTTATTCTTATGGAGCTCGCCTGCAACCCTGCGTTAATTAAATTAAAATGCAAGCCTGCTTTATATCGGAGTTGATTAGTTTGTTTGGGTATTCAGCATTTTTGTTTGTAGGAGTTGTTTATAGACACATTTAGATAATTCGATTATAAGTGCTGTTCTGTTAGTTTGTACATTAAAGTAGTTAATTTGGTTTTTACATATTTGATAACGTTTACTGCCTACTACAGCTCTTGGTTCCGCTCAAGGGGCGGTGGACTGCCGACGGAGTTTGTAAATACGTGCTTGGAATACTGCAACTAATTTGAATGGTGTTCAATAAAATATACATTTCAATGAACGTGCTGTTTTTGTTTTATTGCACTGGTAATTAATATCTCGCGAAGCGCATTTGTTGCGAAGTGTAGCGCGCGCGGCTCGTCTGCTCGACCGGTGCCGCGCTGGCCGCTCGCAGCGGCCAGCGCGACACCGATCAAGCAAACGAGAAAAACAAACCGAAAAAAAAAATAATAATAAAAAAAGGAACCGGGGGGGGGGGGGGGGGGGAGAGAGAGAGAGCAGAGAGAGGGGGAGGAGGAGGGCCGAAGGGCGCCTGCCGCGCCTGCGCACGCCAACGACATTGGTGGCGCCATCTGGCGGTCTCCCAATATTTGATTTGATTTTATTTTATTCACGATATCAGAGGCACTCTTCCTACAAATGCCCGCCCTGTTTTAAAAAAGTTTTGGCCCATTTGACTGACTGACTGATTTACTTTTTTCAGTCTCACGCCGTACTTTCTGCCACTTGCGACTTGTGGCGCTAGTTTCTCCTTACCACGGTGGAGGCTACAGCTGCACTCGGCTGACGACGACACGAAGAAATTCCAGAAATTCGATTTGTGAGTCATATGCAGCTTCGCTCTAAAATGTTTTCGCGGAGAGGGAGCATATTACTGGCAATATATGCCCCAGAAGCAGCGCACATTCTTTTTCTTTTCTTTTTCGGAAGTATTAGATTTTTAGTTCTCGAGCGCACGCTAGCTGGGTTGAATCGTAGTCCGGGCAGTCCGCGCGCAGTCGAGATATCAGTCCGCGGCTCCACCGGTCGGAGACGCGAGAATCCTTCGCTTGCTATTGGATGACAGGGGTCCTGGTCTCGGAACATGCTCCTCCCATCGCCGGTGATGACCTCGGTGTGTTGCAATCTTCGATTGCTTTTTTTAAGAAATTTTTTTAAGAGAAACATCGGCCGCGTAATATCCTTATTAGGGATTTACAGGGTGATTAGAGCTTGCAGAGTGAGTTATCGCTATGCTTAAGCGATCTCAAGAACCTCCTCAGGGCACCTTTAAGAGTTAAATCGTGCTTGGGCCCTTGAACTAAAAAAATAATTGCAGTGCCTAAAATCATGAAATCCGCACCTGTCGCCTTATATATTTTTAGCTATGGCTTACGAAATATATGTCACTATACACGGTGTTTTTTTTTTATTCTTACACATTTGTTTAAAAAAAACCGTGAAAGCTACACTAATGCGGTTTGTGCAGGTTGGTTTTACGGCCAGGCGGACAGTATGCCGGTTGCTAATCTTCGCGATAAGTCAGCTAATTAATTAGAATTCGTTAATTAACTTTTTAATTACTGAAAATAAACATATGGTTTCAATTAGAAACTTGCTGAGCACCATCGAAAACCCCTAAATCAACTATTTTTAGCAGGATATAACGCCGGGGCAGCGTTTTACGGCGTTCTGTAAAAACGCTCCATTTGGACGCGTTTCTAGATTTCGGTTTCTCATCGGAGCGCATCTACGCACCCGCGATCCTGCTCCCCGGTGGTCGCGGCGCGAAGCCCCCTCCTCGCCTCCCACGTAGAATGGAGGGAAGTACGGCGCACGTGTGTTGCGCGTCTCAGCCGCTGGGGAGCAGGACCGCGGGCGCGGTGATGCGCTCCGATAAGAAACCGAAATCTAGAAACGCGTTCAAATAGAGCGTTTTTACAGAACGCTGTAAAATGCTGTCCCAGCGTTATATCCTTCCAAAAACAGTTGATTTAGTGGTTTTCAATGATGCTCTACAAGTTTCTAATTGGAACCATATGTCTATTCCCACTAATTAAAAAGTTAATTAACGAATTTTAATTAATTAGCCAACTTATCGCAAAGATTAGCCACTCACATAATGTCCGCCTGGCCGTATAACCCACCTGCACAAACCGCATTAGTGTAGCTTTCACGTTTTTTTTAAACAAATGTGTAAGAATAAAAAAAAAAAAAAACACCCTGTATATATCAGACGACGAAACAACTGAGCTAAAAGCAATACGATTTTCAAGATGTCACGAAAATTTTAGGACAGACCCTTTCAGCCCATCTTTTATAGAAACACAGAGCGGCAATCACAATGCTTGCTTTTCTAACCAACATCTTTACACTCAGCGTCGTGATGCGGATGATGAATGCAGAAAGGAGTGATTGAAATTGTTCCTTCTAATCTTAAAACACCTTCGTACTCAGATCGAATCTGTCCTAAAATAGCGCTTACCCAAGTGAACATGGTCTTATACAGGATAAACTGGCATAGCCTGGCTGTTGAGCTTTGTTCTTGACAAAATGCCCGTCAATCCATTTTGCAAATGAGCATCACCCTTGCTAATTTATTTCTTTGTTAAATAAAACAAAGTAGTAGTTCGTGCTCTACTCGACATGGCATGTTGAAAGACAGCGCGATTGGGACGAGGACACACAGAGACGAAGAGAACACAACACAAAGCGCTGACTAGCAACTGGTTCGTTATTACAACATAAGGAAGAATGACAATGAAATGAAAAACATGGAGTCAAATGTTCGCGCACTTGCTTGGCGCCTCGTGGAATATGCCCCTTTCTTCTTTTTTCTTTTTCATCCGATTGTAGACTGGTGTTCTTCTTTCCTCAGGAGCTTGGGTTACCCTGAATCCAAAATCTTTATCTCGCTGGGAGTCATAGTCACCGAAGGTTGGCTCACACACGAACTGTTGCTCTTCATGATGTTGTAGGCTTCTACCATCTCTCGACTTGTTTGGTCGTGGTGTTGAAATAATATGCTGGTGCTTTCGAACTGTGGTTTGCAACCGCAATCTCTGCGATGCGTCGCTAGATGTGAATTAGCGGTGCCTTTCAAGGAGCTGTGGTGCTCTCTTAGTCGGATGTTTAAGCACCGGCCAGTCTGCCCGATATAACAGCGCCCACAAGAGAAGGGAATGCGGTAAACCACTCCTTTGACGCACGACACTAACTTTATCCCATGGTTTACCTTACATGTGCTATATTCCGATCTTGCTATCCCCTCCCTGCGTGCACGTACAGCGGAACATAATCTACTTAGTTTGTTTTTGGCTGAAAAAACAACGTTCACCTCGTATCTGGACGCGACTTTTTTAAGTCCGTGTGAAATGCGGTGAAGATAAGGAATGACCGAAACTTTCTTTTTTTTCTTTTTTAACTGCTCCTTCCAACATGAAATTAGAACTAATCTTTACGAGTTTTATTAAACTATCGCATGCTGATGAAATAATTGAGTCTGGGTATCCTGAATCCCTAATCCTTTGAATCTGGGAAGTGAAGCTAACGCCCATTGTGTGAACACATGATTTTGTTAAAGCGGATTTCAAACAGGATTACACTACTCCTCTTTTTACGAGCTTCGAATGCGCTGACTGGTAGTTTAGCAAACTCTTTGATGTTCTAGGATGATACAACCAGCAAATGTGTTCTATTGTAAATTCAACGAGGAGATCTAAAAACTGAATTCGACTCTCTTTTGGGGTCTCATAAGTGAACCTAAGGCCTTGGCCAAGCTCATGGAATACTTTAAGGACGTAATCTAGTGTTTTTTCGCAACCGGAGGCTTCAACAAATATCAAGAAATCATCAACATATCTAGAGATCTTAATGGTGTGATTTTCCAATTTATGAACTAGAGCTCTACCTACTTTCCCGAGGAAAATATCGCTTAGTACAGGCGCTACTCTTGACCCTATACAAACACCTGACTTTTGAACGAACACTTTTTCCTCCCACCCTATAAAAGTAGATTTTAAATACACAGATAATAGTTCAAGGAAATGTTCAACTGTTATTCCGCATTGCGTTCTAAACTTAGTTTCGTTGTTATACTCCAAAATGCACTCTTGAACGCTTACCATGAGGTCATCATGAGGCAAAGAGTAGTATAAGTCTTCTTTTCGAAAAGACTGTGACTTCTTCACAGTCTTTTCGAGTGACCCGGAGATGGTACCAACCATCCGCAGAGGACTTGTATAGGTCTGGTGGGCAGGAGGAAGATCTTGCATACCTGGAGGCCGCCCTTGCCTTGCCTTGCCTTGCCCACCGGACCTACAAGTGCTCTGTGGATGGTTGGTACCATCTCCGGGTCACTCGAAAAGACTGTGTCGAGTCCTGTGCTCTGAATGGTGGCAGCAAGTCCGCCATTTCAAGGAATGCCTTCGGATCGCCTGCTCTCGAGGAAGAAATCAACACTAAGCCTCTCGTCTTTTAGCGGGATGGTCAAGGACCACAGCACAGGCCACTGAGTTCCTTTGGAACCAGGTTCGTCTTACATTACCACCCAAGAAGAAATCTCATCCAAAGGAAGGTAACGTTGTCGTCTTGGGCGATCTACCTGTCCCAGAACCGCACCAGAACATCCTGAAAAAAGGACCGAAGTTTGGCTTCGAGCCCACGCTTAAACGCGTTGACAAATTGGTTTTGTCCAGGTTCATTTCACGGAATGTACCAGAGGAGGACAAACCTAGGTGCATCACCGAATATGTAGACGTCTTACTGAAAAGTGAAGGTAGCCCCAAAAAATCCCGCAGTTTAGATCCTACGATTAACTTTCTCTCATCCAACAACTTGAATGTTATGTTATCCGACAAAGAGGGGTGTTTTGTAGTCATACCGTATGGTTCACTCTCCGAGAAAGCTCATATAGCTATCCAAAAGAATTTTAGAGAGGTATCGGAACGTCCAGCTGAAATAAAAAGAAGAACCATTAAGTTTCTCACTCAACTCAACTTACACAAAGTCGCGTCAGGAGCCCAAAAAGGAGAAGACCTCACGTTAAGGGTGTTTTTCTCCGCTAAAACCCGTGGTTTCCTGGTTTCCTGAGAATAAACCTTTCAGTTGTTAGTCAGCGCTCGTCCTGTCCAGTTCCTTCCTCTGTCCTTGCAAAAATTCGCGCTGTTCCATTATGAATCCATACCAACTCGCCCAGTTATCCTGTTTACTAAAACCCATAAACCCGGAATCCCTTCCTGCACCATAGTATCGGAACGCAACACTTGGCCACACGCAATCTCGGGATATTTACAAAAACACTTAAATTCCCTTTCAATCGTTGACCCTTTACGTATCCCGAACTCCAAGGTGGTTATCGATTTTCTACAAGACAGCAATCTAGAGGGGTGCACAGCATTCAGCATTGATGTAGAAGACTTATACTACTCTTTGCCTCATATGATGACCTCATGGTAAGCTTTCAAGAGTGCATTTTGGAGTATAACAACGAAACTAAGTTTATAACGCAATGCGGAATAACAGTTGAACATTTCCTTGAACTATTATCTGTGTATTTAAAATCTCCTTTTGAAGGGTGGGAGGAAAAAGTGTTCGTTCAAAAAAGTCAGGTGTTTGTATAGGGTCAAGAGTAGCGCCTCTACTAAGCGATATTTTCCTCGGGAAAATAGGTAGAGCTCTAGTTCATAAATTGAAAAATCACACCATTAGGATCTTTAGATATGTTGATGATTTTTTGGTATTTGTTGAAGCCTCCGGTTGCGAAAAAACACTAGATTACGTCTTTAAAGTATTCCATGAGCTTGGCCAAGGCCTTAGGTTCACTTATGAAACCCCAAAAAAGAGTCGAATTCAGTTTTTAGATCTCCTCGTTGAATTTACAATAGAACACATTTGCTGGTTTTATCATCCCAGAACATCAAAGAGTTTGCTAAACTACCAGTCAGCGCATTCGAAGCTCGTAAAAAGAGGAATAGTGTAATCCTGTTTGAAATCCGCTTTAACAAAATCATGTGTTCACACAATGGGCGTTAGCTTCACTTCCCAGATTCAAAGGATTAGGGATTCAGGATACCCAGACTCAATTATTTCATCAGCATGCGATAGTTTAATAAAACTCGTAAAGATTAGTTCTAATTTCATGCTGGAAGGACCACTTACAAAAGAAAAAAGAAAGTTTCAGTCATTCCTTATCTTCACCGCACTTCACGCGGACTTAAAAAAGTCGCGTCCAGATACGAGGTGGACGTTGTTTTTTCAGCCAAAAACAAACTAAGTAGATTACGTTCCGCTGTACGTGCACGCAGGGATGGGATAGCAAGATCGGAATATAGCACATGTAAGGTAAACCATGGGATAAAGTTAGTGTCGTGCGTCAAAGGAGTGGTTTACCGCATTCCCTTCTCTTGTGGGCGCTGTTATATCGGGCAGACTGGCCGGTGCTTAAACATCCGACTAAGAGAGCACCACAGCTCCTTGAAAGGCACCGCTAATTCACATCTAGCGATGCATCGCAGAGGTTGCGGTTGCGAACCACAGTTCGAAAACACCAGCATATTATTTCAACACCACGACCAAACAAGTCGAGAGATGGTAGAAGCCTACAACATCATGAAGAGCAACAGTTCGTGTGTGAGCCAACCTTCGGTGACTATGACTCCCAGCGAGATAAAGTTTTTGGATTCAGGGTAACCCAAGCTCCTGAGGAAAGAAGAACACCAGTCTACAATCGGATGAAAAAGAAAAAAGAAGAAAGGGGCATATTCCACGAGGCGCCAAGCAAGCGCGCGAACATTTGACTCCATGTTTTTCATTTCATTGTCATTCTTCCTTATGTTGTAATAACGAACCAGTTTCTCTTCAGCGCTTTGTCTTGTGTTCTCTTCGTCTCTGTGTGTCCTCGTTCCAGTCGCGCTGTTTTTCAACATGAACTCTCACCAACTCGCCCAGTTATCGATCCTTATCGACATGGCAGCTACTTAAGTTGACACTTTCTGATGGCATACATGCGTAATCATCATAGTTCCGCCACGCGCCCCTGTTTGCTCTGTTTTTGTACAACCCTCATACAAATAAAAGTTCTGTTCACCACATAAAAGAGGCAATAGCGGACTTTTATATGTTTGTGTAGTGAGAAGTCAGAAACGCAGAGTTGTTTAAATTAGATTCAAAATCAAAAATTCGCTTAATCCTCTCACAATTCACTTACAATGTGCCTATCGAGCATTCGAAACTTTCAGCGATGATGGTACCACGGTGTGAGAATCCCTCTCCCCAGCTCCTCGATGATTGGCCTCAGAATAAATGTGCCTGCCTATACCTTCCTGGCGTTAAAAAATAAAGTAAGGCTCTAATACTACTCGTATATATCAAAACTATAATTACTTGCGCGTCGCAGACCCAGCTTCGTATTGCTCTTCTACGACAATCATCCAGATGACAGCCATTTTGATGGGCGCCAGTGCAGTTGCGAATAAAAACGCCGGAAAAGATTTGCAAGGCATCTTTCAGATGATTTGGGGCTGCATTTACCTATGATGTACATCTTTAAGCTGATCTGCACTTTATATATGTTGTCAAATCTTCAGTCAGTAAATAAATATACTTTTATTATCATGAATAAATTTGACTTTATGGGGTTCACGTAGCCGCTTGAGACCGACACGGGAGGACGATACTCGAGAATACGCCGCTGTTGAGTCTGCGAAACGTGTTTTTTTTGTTTTTTTTTTGTTCGCTGTTTGGCAGTGTGAAGCACTGCCAAACAACCAAAAAGGACTTTGGGGTCATATGATAGATTGCAAGACAATTACACGAAATCTGCTGAAAAGGAGGGATAATAAATGGTGTTTAAAAAATATCCCTCACACAACGCCTTACTGCAAAAAAAAAAAAAAAAAAATACATATAGATGCATGCGATGATATGCTTAATTATACATAAATAGCGAGAAGGACAGATATGTTCTTAGAATCCTAACATAAATCACATTTGGGCGTCAGCTTGCATGAACTCGAAACTTCGCGAAATACTTCATCGGGAGGCTAATGTTATATTCGGTTTTACGTGCACTCGTCTGGGGTCCACACTTTACAGCTTTGTGCTTTATGAGTCACGGGCTATACCATTTCATTAAACCGGCGTATATCATCGCGAGACTGCTATAAATACTACCAACTTTACAATTTGAACATATATTGCCAGTGTTGCGAACCTCGTATTTCACCACAAAGCTGAACTATTTAACCTGGTTTTCACCGTGACGTAATCACACTATATGCTGGAGGTCATTGCGATTTGTTCTTGCTAAAAAAATAAAATCCGCGGTGATGCAAAATGCTCGCTGCAGAAGGTTCGCACTCAGTGCAAGCCATGTATTTGAGAAGCCCAAAATATTCGTCTTGGTACATCGTCGTGAGGAACGGCGCGAGCGTCTGACACGACGAAAACGCGATTTCTGGTAAATTCTTTCCAAACAAAATAATGACGCTTTCTGGTATCCGCCGAAGATGCGGGGTCGACAATTATACTTGTGTCACTTCTTAACAGTAATCCTCCATTGCTTTTATTTTGCACACAACTGTGAAGTTTAAACAAAATACAGGCGTGGTAGAAATCAGTGTTGCACGGAACGGCGTTCCTGGAAAGCGTTCCTTTTAGCAGGAACGAAGGAACCCCACCGTTCCCTCTTGCATCGCTGGAAAGGGAACGGGAACTCGTCACATTTTTACTAAAAAAAAAAAAAAAAAAAAAAGAAAAAGAACGGCGTTCCTTTTTTTTTTGTGCAGTGAGGTAATTTTTATTTTATTTATCTCTAAAAAGTATAAAAAAATAAATTTACGACGAGCAGGATCTCGTTAACTTCTTTGTTACTTATTTTAGGTTTTATTTTATGGGATCCTTGCTTGGTAACAGTCGGGTGCGTGCGAGCTTGTGGACATAGATTCTTGTTTTAGTGCCCGAGACTGCGGTACAGAAGACAAAAACTTTTAGTCGAAGGAAGAGACACAGAAATAGATACATTTCGAACTCAGCTACTTTCTTACCTTCCACGAAGTACGTCTCATACACCCAGAAATATAAGACCGACTACAGCCATCACTGAAGGTCCACTTAGAGACCTACAGTTACAACAAAAGACAAGGTCCCCAGACATCGAACGCGCCCTTGTAGCTTGAACATTGGTCACATAATATATACACGAAAATTAACTTTTATTCCCTCTTTCCTTCTCCTGGTGTCCTTCCATTACGGCAATCGAGTTCGTATATATATATATATATATATATATATATATATATATATATATATATATATAATATATATATATATATATATATATCCAAAAAAAGTTCGTTTGAACTGGCTAAATATGATAATTAGCAAAATACAAAAGTAACGTATATGTAACTTTAAGTTCCATTTTTTTAAACGGTAACGGGAACGACTTCCTTTCTCACAGTTAGAACTTGTAACGGGGACGCGTTCCAAAAATCAGAAGGAACAAGGAATCTTTCCTTTCTCTTTTTGAGGAACGTGTACAACACTGCTGCACGCACTGCATGCACGGCCCGTTGTCCTTGCTCTCCTTTGTTGGGGCGGCTTTGCTGGTCGTGCAGGTGTTCCCACTAACGTCGTCTGTTCTATTTCCTGGGTCTAGCATCGTTATCACGAAACCCAGGGCGTCTGGATGTATTTTTCGGGTTGAAGCTTATAAAGGTTCATCGGACGTGGCAACAGGTGCTAACAAAAGAGCACCAAATTTTCCGTTGTCTCTGTTCCCTCTCCGCACGTCCAACATACGGTGGACTCCACCTTGGGGTCAAAGCGTTTGCGATAGGACAGCCGCAAATGGCTGTCATATCGCAAACGCTTTGATAGGGCTGCGATAGGACACTGCGATAGGACAGCCGTAAACGGCTTTCCTATCGCAGAAGGCCTCGAGGTCCTATCGCGTTTGCGATAGGACTTCGAGGCCTTTCAACTTTACATTCTTTAAAACAAATATTGCTGTATATTTCCTGGGATCTGCGCAGTATCACATTCATTGGCGTGTAAGCTTCATCCAAGTAGAATATACCCTTTTCAAAATTTAGTTTGGTAATTTTGATCACTATCATCATCTCAGTGTGTGGCATTTTTGCGAAGCTAATGGCGGCCTTCTCCAGGCTGATGAAGGAAGAGGATGAGGATACCACCGAGCAGAAAGTATACGAGGCCTGCAGTTTTGAGACCCCAGAACAAAACGACGCACGAATGAGATA